ATAAGCCGTGAAATCCGTAAACTCCTGGAAATCCTCCATATAAACCGGTTTTTCGTGTTTATTAGAAATCATACGGTCCGTCAATTTCTGTGGGGGATAGTCCAGCAGAGCCTCGGATCCTGAATCAGGAAATGCTTTGGGGGATCGGAAAAATACAAAACTCCGCCAGCCGCCCTAATTTTGCAGGTGTTTTTAAGAGAATTTGTATGTTAATTCCGGAAAATTAAAAGGACTTGTATAAATCCAGAAGGTCCAAAGCGTTCAACAGCGCTATGAATCCATGAAATTCTGATTAGACTAATTGGTCTAAAATGACTTAAAGTAGATTTCCAATTGAATTTGATTAGATTTTAATTGAATCGTAATTAGGTTTCAATTGGTTTTAATTAGATTTCAGTTTGTTCGAATCGGGTTTCATTTGATTTTGAATAAGGTATCATTAGATTTGACAGTGGTTTTCATTAGATTTTGAATTGGTTTCAAGTGCTTTAAATTTGACTTCAACTGGTCTTACTTGAGCCGTAATTAATCTTAATTTGGTTTCCAGTTGATGATTAGACTTTGAGTTACGTATTACGCAGTTTGAATTGGATTTCTAATTCGATTTCAACTGCACCGAATGAGATTTCTATCAGTTATGGATAGCTTTTCAATAGGTTTAATAGGGTTTTGAATAGATGTTGATGCAAATGGTACTGCCGGTATAAGCACTAATACGAAATCAAATCCCAGCTTCGAAGCTGCTACCGAGATTCCAGGTGTTTATTGATTTTAATTGCGCGCAAATTTAGGGGGGGCCGAACTATTAAAGAGGAATACTAATTGTTCAGGGGGGTGGGGGGACAGTCCGATCACTAAACAGGGTGCAACATCACTTCACACACCAAACAAATGACTCGGGAGGTCTCAGAACAAGGTGTGGCCTCAGAAATCTTGAGGTCTTGAGGTTCTGGAGCTGAGGCGCCTTCCTGCTCTCCTGGCGGCGCAGTAGCGTTTCCACGTCTCGGCGTAGTTCGCGGGTGGCCACTCTTCTGAGCAATCAAAATGAGTGTTCCATGGTGGCTTGACGGGAGCCAGGCATTTTAGCCCAAAGGTCAAGTACCTCAGCTAGGACTTCTGCTCTGCATCTGTAAACGTTTCTCTGGAAACTTTACTGCGAACAAGAAAAAAATCATTCGGACGCAGAGTGGAAACTCTTCGCCAAGATTGAAGATGTGCTTGTGATTGCAGCAGCCCTGGGCTGTGGTGTTGTAGACTTCGGTTTGGTTGCAGCAGTCCTCGCCCTTGATTTCGAAGATGTCGGTGCCGCAGCAGCTCTGAGTGGTGAGATCGAAAAGCACATTGCCACAGCATCCTTCCTTGGAATGGTCGTAGGTCTGCCCACCACATAGGCCCGGGCCTGCTGGCTCTTCGTCCTCCGTGTCCTCCTCGTCTCCCTCTGTCTCGTCAGGATCCGGTAGCAGGCCATCAATGTCATCATCGAAGACGCCCGGGACGGCTGCAAAACCCACAGACACGCCTTCGTCGCTGCCTTGCTTAACAGTCTTGGCGCGAGACTGCAAGGCTTGAAGCGCGCATTCAGGGGATGCGCACTCATCATCAGCTGGCATCACATCTTCAAGAGCTCGGGTCACAAGCAGCGGCCAAGACAGCGCACAGGCCAGCAACTTAGCGATCACCATGATGGACTAGTAACGAGTAGCAGTGTAGAAGTAAATCGCGTTTGAGCACTTGCAGCGAAGTGGATCAATTGCAGCGAAGCGCAACAGCTTGGAGGCAGTACGCTGCATACAGTTTTGGCTTCAGTGAGTTGCAGCTGCCCATTCCTTTGGCTCAGACTGAACGCTTGTCTGATCAAGGTCGTATCTAATGACAAGACATGTGCCCCTCTGGGTGCAGTTTCCTGAAGGCATAATTGTCAATAATGATCCTATTGTCCTACCGCCATTGCGCAGAACTAATCTATGCCAAGGCAAGGATGCTGCCAGCAACGCGCCTGCACCCCTCGCAAGCAATTCATCGGTCAGATGCTGGATAACGCTTGTGGTTGTCCAGCTGCCTGGCACTTGCTGTGTCTCTACGCCAGAGACCTCAGATGGCGTCAGAATTCCCCTGTACAGAGGCCAGAGGCATTGATTTGGCAGCCAGTGCTATGGAAGCTCAACGGACCCACAGGCAGTCAAGTACTGGCGTGCTTCTCATGCGAATTGGATCCGAGCCTACAGCCCAGCAGATGCCGGTGAGCTGGCTCAGCCTGATGCGGAAGTGACAGGAGCTCAACCCGCAGCTGATGCGTTCGAAGCCAACTCTGAGGCATCGACTGAGCACATCGATCAAATTAACGACATGCAGTCAAGACAGCCACAGATACAAACAAGAACATCCTGAGCCAGATTGCTAGTATTTGCTAGTGACATCCATCTGTGACATGACACGTTGGCTTCTTCCATCCGTCATTACCTGTCGCGCCTCTTTACATTGCTCCGCGAAGGCCTCTGAAGTTCGTCCAAGGCGAAGCCGGCGCAAGTTCAGCACCGTTCGGCTTGTCATTAGCGGAGACCGCTAAGAGGTCTCGAAGTCTCTGGATGTCTCCCGAGCTTGTCTCAGGGGGTTGTTTGCACCTAGCTGCAAAATCTACCTGAATGCCCGTAAAGCGAGAGGCCAAGGGTATTTCCTTGGCATAGCCTCAAGCCACTGAAGGTTGCCAGACTCCAGCGCCGTAGAGCACCTTTAGATGCATGCAACGAGGCCGCTCGTCAGCCTCTCAGCCTGAGGTGCCCGGCTCTGACCAACACCATGTCCCGCAACATTGTCAGGGCGCCGGTGAGTAGGTTCAGCCTCAGACACAGGCTGAAGAGACCCTAAACGATGAGCAACAGCCAAGGCCGGCGCTTTGAGCCTGGCATCTCCACCCAAGTAACCGGCACCTAACATGCAGACTCCCCACGCTAGATTCAGGAAAGATCTCAAATGAACTGTGGCCTCAGCTACGCCCTTGCCGAAGAGTTGCGACAAAATCAAAACCTGGCAGCCGGGCCAATCACGTGAAGTTGTCTCACAGGGTGGGTGTTAGCTGCCACCAGCACTTCTGCCAGATCTGACGAACATCTGCCACTCCCCCAGAAGAACGCATTCCTGAATCTTAGTCTGTCCCAAACTGAACCACATCAGGAATGGTGTTTCTTTTCAGTCGTAGTGGTTGGCTGGCCCCGCAGTCACACAATCACGCGCCCTCCTTCCCGCTTGACATCAGCGAAAAAAAAACAATGCTGCTCATGGTGATGCCTCAATATCAAAGGCCCAGCGGTAGATGTGCATGGACGCAAAGATCCTTTTTGCTACCTCTGCTGCACTGACGCAAGCAACATCCAGGCTTGCAAACGCTAACGCATGCGCCCTTTGCTTTGCTCCCCACATTGGCTTTGAAGAGCTTGAAGCCACACTGGGTGTCGTGTATTGCGCCGCCGACCTGTCAACCAGGGATTCGTGCCTAGCTCTCCCGGTGGACCCCAAGAGTCCCTAGCCAGCAGCCACACTGCAAAGTGGAAGCCGACCATCAAGATGTTGCGGTACCAGGCCCTAAGGAATTTCGGTGCTTGCAGCTGCCATTGTGGGGTGCCCATGGTGCACCTCTTCGCCAATGCTTCTTGACGAAGATGATGCCTGGACCCGAAAGCTATGTGGGGAGCGGTGTCCTGCGCGGAAGTCAACTCCTTGAGGCATGCTCAGTGTTCTTGGCTGTCGGCCCCTTGCTCTTCAAATGCTGCAGCAGCCGAGGCGTTGTAGTGATCACAGAGGTCGTCACTACAGCCGCTAGTGCTGTAACTACCCTTATTACTGCTCCACCTCCTCCCGTTGCTGCTGCCACCACTACCACGAATCAGAATAGTGCAGAGCCGAAACTGCTCCTGCTCTTACTGTTACTAGATTACTAGACTGATCAAACAATGATCGAACCCTTCATGACAATTGCAGACTTCCCTCAGTCCTTGGGCCCCAGGGCCTGCTCCAGGCGCTCCAAATCTCGTATGGACGTTGCCCCGTCCGCGTCGGCCATGAGCAGCAGCTGCCCTTCACATGACATAAGCTACGTTGCGCGGATGTATGCACACTTACTCAGGGCAATGTATCAAAGGAAGCGTTGGAGACAGTGCGAGAGTTCCCCCCCAAACGTAGCATGGCTTCTGGGAGCACCAAAGTGTTCAAATTCTGGGCGGTTCTGCCGTCTCTGCCTCTCTGGCTACCCAGGTGTTTTGACAGTTTCCCAGCCTCTAGCGACCAGCATCCCCGCACGTACTGCGAAGCCCTTGCCACCTGGCGGATCGGACGTCAACCGCAGCAACTGGCTTCAACGACTGGCTTCAACTTTGGAACAAGCTGTCGGGCAGGCGGTTGGCTACCAGCTGCAGGATCTTCACGTCGCCATGGCGCAAAGAGACTGCCCTGCGCGGCGGAGTATCTGCTTGCACTCATGCGGCTGGCAAGCACCGCTGGCGCGGCTTGGGACTAGGCTGGCTTGCGGAAAGGGCCGCTGCGTAGGTGTTATCGCCGCTGCCATCATCCACCACGATGATCTGCAAGATTCTGCAAGAAAGCGCATGACGCAGCTCTTGGAACATACAGATCCTGCTGGCTTGCGCGCAGAGCGACGCATGTTTGAGGAGTTTGCACGGGTTCCGATTGCAGATGACTACTGCTCGCACGATTCAACCACGGCCTGCCTCATAAGAGAAGGAGGACGAGGCGCCCCGTCCCTCCAAATAAGTCAGCGTCTCGTCCAGCATTTGTGGAATGCGGTACTCCTGCTGCAGCCAGCTTGAAGCCACTTGAAATTTGAAATTGGACGCGGCAGCACATAAGTAGTGACCCTGCAATGTGAAGTTCACCTAGTTCTGACTGGGATGGCACACCAGGTCATCGCTCACAGGTGTCACAAAACTGCCAAGGTTGTGGGCAACACGACTACCGAAAGCCAGGCAGACTCAAGAAAGGCCTCATTGTAAGCTGGCACCACGACGGACAGGATTACTTCGGGTGCCTGTCCACGTGGCCACAAGACTTCGCAAGATACCGAATTTCGCCGTTTGCCTTCCATGCAGGCGGGATGAGCTCACCGGGGCTGCATTGGAAGGAGGTCCTGTACCCAGGCTACAGAGATATGCCGCCACATGCCGCCACAGTTGTGCTGCACGAGCCTGGCGACTTGGGACTCGAGAGCCTGATCGCAGCTGGCCCTCCAATCAAAGTACCTCAAAGGCTAAGGCGGCTAAGGCGGCTAAGGCTGCAAGGCTGCTAAGCAAAGATGAGTTGGGATGGGCACGGCTTCAGCAAGAAGATAGCAGCCAATGCCACCAAGACCAGCCCAAGCCCAATGGACAGAAGGACTTCCATGGCCTTTGAAGCTGTGCTGGCTCAAGTACTCAGTACTGTAGGGAAGATGCAGCGCAACGTGGTTAGAAGCCTCAGACTGCTTTACGGGACTCATGGACGTTTACCTGGAAATAGCTTGATGTTCCATCCTTCAAAGTTCCTCATGGGTTAGGCTAAGCAAAAATGATCCACGTTCTCTGGGATGATTCAAGGTGCAACCTCCTCCATCACATTTTCGAAAGAACAAGCTACACAAACTTGCAGGCCCTTCCTTTTTTTAGCTCATGCTGAGGATGAGACCCTTCCTTCCGCGGAGCAACTGTCGCCCCAAGGGTCTTGAACCGCGGCGCAATTGGCGGCTTGATTCTGTATTCAAGCAAGAACCGAGTACACAATACTCCAAAGGCACAAGCCCAAAGCCTCAGAGCACAGGGGAAAATCTTGTGAAGGAGAAGCACACTGGACAGGTGGAGTGGTGCTTGAACAGGAAGATGTAGGTCACATTATGCGGTATTGGCTTCAGACTGGATGTAGTCATAGAGCTCGTGAGGATTGCTAGCCTTCACGAAGAGAAACGCAACAGATTGACAACAGTGAATCAGTGAATGCCATCTAGTGCCGGGGTTTTTGAGCCCAGCATACCATCAGATGATCGCTTTGGAGGCAACTCGTGCATCAGGAAGAAGCCCTTGTGAAACGTGTCCCCGTAACACAAGAGTGACAAATAAGAGACGCAAGCCTGGGGTCTATCGACGGGCGAGTGAGCTCTGCTGAGACTGGCTTAGTCCACGCAGAGCTGATGCTCCTGAAAACTGACCTTTGAGCCACCGCCAACCTACTGCGCTGCAAGTTCTAGGTTCGAATGGATTTAAGTAATGCAATTCATGCCCGCGACAATCCTCATAGTGGCGCCTGATTGACATAAGACAGATTCGGCTAGGGTCAGCGGGCTGCAGTGGTCTTCAGCAGTTCTGGAACTTTGGGTGCATGGAACGCACATCTTTTCCGGGGTGCTTGAGCGAGGACAAACAAGAAACGCCAAAATGTGATCACAGCAAAAGTCTGCTCTTGACTCAGAAGCTCTGGCAGGACCTGTCCATGCTGCAATTGCCTGTTTGAAACAGCTCTGCTCACCTTTCTGGGCTTGCACTCGCAACCAGTGTGTCTCATGCACCAGGCGACGCGCTGTACCCTCGGCATGTCTAATGCAGTCTTCGGAGATTCTTGTGAAGAAGTCAATTGTTCTGTCTTGAGATCAATTTGCTCTGACTTGTTGAAAACATGGATCACCACATTCTCAGGCTGGCTTCCGAAGTCTGCACATCCAGCTGCTAGCGCTAGCGTGCCAGCACTGCAATTGTTGCAAGGCCCATAACGCCCTCTGCGCCAGCTTGAACCCACAGCAGATTGACGACTGAGATTTCCCAGCTTTATCTTCTCTGATCATCAAGGCAGAATCCATGTCGCATTCCTGGAGGGTGCTTCAAGGCCTTGGGCAACACTAGAGTTCTTTGTGGCAGGCCCAGGTCAAAGCTGATGGCCTATGCCAAGGCTTCCTGTGGCCTGCAAGGGAGACCCTGCAGATCCATGCGCCGGGCGAACAGAACCCTGCAGTTGTCTGCACGGGGGCTGTGCTCCCGGTCAGTAATTTACAACTGTTGACGAGAGCCCTTTTGTTTGAAGTGGCGTTGTAGTGATGCACGCCTAGGCACATGGGTGAGGGGTTGAAATCTGGGTTGCAAATTCAATGCTTTCCCTTCGGGACATGTGAGCCCGCCGAGATCCAGTGAGTGAACAGGTCCACATAAAACCTTTTTGCGTCTGACCTTGCAAAAACGGTGGGCCATAGCATTGCTGGGTTTCGCTGGATCTTCCGGCGACATCGCTGAAGCATCATAAGCGGCCTATGAAGGCCCGTTGCAGCATCTGCCCAAAAACAGAAAATGCCAGCAAAAAGATGCACTTTGGATGCCAGCATGCAGCGTAAATTCATCGAGCGAAGCTAAACCCCAAACCATCCGAAACCATGGCACACCGCGATCACATGGCGGCTCAGTGCAGGCCTTCATACATGGCCTCAGAAAAGGTGGACAGGTGCTTTACTGAATGTTGGGTGAAGCTGCAAAATCGGCGTCTGATTGCAGATTGACTGAGGCAACGCAGATTACATAGGTGTCGTTGGTAATTTGAAACCCAAGCATTCAGGCCAGGGGAACTGCTTTCAGATCTGTGATCACATCGCGGGGCATCAAAACTCACAAGATTGATCCCCTCGTCATGGACGCTTTCGGCATTCCTGCAGATTTCAACGTGACGAAAAGACGGCGGCCCCTGCATAGACCTCTGAACGAAGAAAACCTGAACCACCGTGGGCATATCCAAGCTCGTCACCACAGCGACTTCAGCGGGCGTCGGGCTTGCCAGGCCATATGAATAAGTGACAAACCTCGGCAGAAAGCTCAGCAAGGGCTGATACTTTGGTTCTGCCCTGAGAGAACTTTAAAGGAACTTCATTTTCTGGCTTTCAGGCTGGGAGGGTGGGCAAATTTGCAGTGATCAACTGGAGGGGGGGATGGTAGAATGTGTCAAGCCATCCCAGAGGATTCGTTGGGCAAGCTACCATCGCTTCGTCATCTCCTTGGAGGAGCAGGGCATGTTCACCTGACAGGATGCCACCAGCCCCAAACCAAGTCGAGTGGTAGAAAGTATTTTAGCGGATCTACAAACAATGCGGAATTTGATTGGCTCATGCGCACGCCCACTCCAGCTGTCAACCTGGGCCTGGTTGACAACAATGTCGAAGGACTTGAAGCACAGGCCGCGATTGGCATCGCCCTTTGAAAGATCAAACCTCCGGCGGACGCACTGACCCAGCTGCCCAGCATTGCCTACATTGTGTCCTAAGTGGAGATGCAGTCCAGTGGACTGTTGGAAGTGCTCTCCCATCCACAGGACCCTTTTTGCCAGTGTAGGGTTGGGCTAAATCAGATCTACCTCCCTGGGCAAGTAGCAACACAGTCCTCCTGTCCTATACACGAATGTCAACCACCAAATCCATCTGACACCTCGACCCGGCGCAAGTTTCCTGGAAGCCGCCCGACGAACTCTGAAACTAAAAGCATACGCTTCCCCTGTGGTGAATCTGGGCATTGCTGCTTGGAAAACAATTGGGACATCGACTTGCCTGTGTACATATTGACTGCCTACAAGCCTGTGGAGAAAGAAGCAGAGATCCATGCATGTGGCGCCAAGGCCGCAGCACTGTAGGCATGTTGTTCTGGCGCTCGATCTCCTCGTCGTAGCGGACGTCAGCCTCTCGGCAAGGCTCTGCCAAATTGAGCTTGTCCAGTGCAAGGACGTTGACTGAAAAGACGGAAAGAGGGAAAACAGGTCACACGATGTTCTGGGTGGTGGGCCGACGAAGGTCTGGCCCAAAAGCATATCCAATGCGCTTTAATGTGCTTTTGAAGGGCTTGCTTGGAAACCTTTTGCCTGCGGCGAAACTCGGAACCTGACCAAGAAGCCAGCTCGGAGCCCAAAGCAAAAGGAGCCTTGTTTTCGTGTCTCAGTCTCCCTACTTGAACTGATGATTGCCAAGGGAATGCTGGTAGCGGCGTCACTGGTGTTGCTGCTGCCTCTGCGCTTGCTGCTGTGTTCCTCTTCTTGAGGCCCGTCGCAGTGCTTCATTGGGCCATAGCTGTCATAACTTCAGTCCAGCAGCCGGCGTGTGGCCCCTCGCTGCCAGACCCAAAGCGTACGTGGCCATAGCTGCAACTATGCAAAAGGTCTGCACGGTGAAGTGCTTGTCGTGGTGCTGATGGTGGCGCCGGTGGTGGCGGCGGCTGCGGCGGCTGCGGCGGCGGCTGCTATTGTTGAAGATGGGGGTGGGAATGGCGGTGGTGGTGAGGTCGCCTTCTCCTTCATTAACGGGTAACCTGACTGATCACGCTGTCCGCTTTCTGATTGTGGTTGACACGCCCCGATGACACCGCGAGAACGGTGTCATGGCCCAGTGTGGAACAGCAGGGCCAGTACCAGGTACACCAGGTACTCCGCTTCTGATGTAGCCGCAAGCTTCCGACCTCTTCGGCAAGACCAGAATTTGCCAGAGATGGTCTCAGTCTCAGAATGTCAAGGATTGGAGCTCCGCGTGCACGTGCGACTGCAGCTCGACAGCTTGCCTGTGCGCCACCCGAACCTATGGAGCTGAGGTACTCTAAGACTCCAAGAACTCGAGGCCTGGCCTAACACAGTTCGCTGGCTCGCTGGTTGGAGGCCTTCACTTATCTAAACGTTCCGTCAATCTGGACCTGCAGAGCAAAAACAACTCGCCTGTACTAAGCCCCTTCATGCTGGTGGCAGCGTCGATGTTCCGTTTCACATGAATGATCAGCCGTAAAATAACTATGCGAAAACCTTCTCCGCTAGCAGCCAATTCGGAATTTGCCTGCAATGCTATGATGGCTTCCTTCCACCATGTCTAATGCACCTTGTCTGGCGAATGTCTTAAGCCCGTCAAACCCTTGTTGTACACTTCCAACTGTTTGACTGGCGTGCCTGTATGGCAACTACATGGGACATTCATGCTTTCTCCCAACAATCTTGAACGCGAGATGCAAGTCTGGAATTGTAGAAGCTTCTTCCCAGTAACTCTCCATATGCTCACTGGCCCTTCAGCCAATTCTTCCAAGCCCACCACCCTCAGCAATCCTCAACATCGCAAGGTATCGCAAGTAGAGCGCGCCTGGGCGGCCACACTAGCTTGGGCTGCTGCCGAAGGCTTGCTGCCAGGGCCGAAGGTAAAGTCCTTGAAAAGTCCTACCCTGCCTCCCAGAACTTTACAATCCCATCAGAGCTTTTTCTGAACCGGATTCGAACGAAGCTCAGCGAAGGCCTCGCAAACTAAGGGTTTGTGAGGGTTTGTTCAGGGATTGCAGAAGCGTGGTTTTCGGAGCACACATCGTGATGTTATTGCAGGCGACAGTGATTAAAATTGCCAAAAAGCATCACTGGAACCAAGAGGCCCAACCCTCATGCGAACAAACCCAAGAATAGTGGGATCAAACAGGCCAAAGGCCGACCCTAGTTTTGCCTGCTAGTCAAGTCCCCACATTAATGGGAAGTCAGAGGTCCAAAGCGACAGTTGGATTCAAGCTTTCAACATTCGGCTCCTGGAGAAATCGTCTCAGCCCAGCGTTTGACAGGAGTGGCCTCCCCTTCTTGTCGCGGGAAGTGCTGTACTGTCGAAACAGCTCCTGCCAGGAAAATTCGACATCAACTTTGAGGATGGCAGCGGATTCGTAGCTAAGCGTTTAAACAATGGAAGGCCCAAAGAAACGCGTTGTCCGGGACATCAAAACGATTTCTAAATGCATCGGCCAGCAAATGGATTGGGGACGCGCCTGGAGAAACTCAGAGAGGTCGCTGTCTGTTACAACAGACTCTGGCTCCGACAATTCTGCCTCCTTCCACGTTCCCCACTCAACAAAGAATTGCGAGAGGGGAGGATGGGAAAGATCTGCTCTTGTTAAGAACTGGCCAACCCAGGCCTCCACGTGGATAGGCACACCTGCCGAGTTCGCTCCTTTGCTGTTTCGCGTCGAACTGCGCCGTCTCGAGCTTTTGCCTGACAAGCAACAGGTTCAACAAGGAAATTGGCAAGACGCTGGCAGCTGAGGAAGCTGCCTCCCTCACTTGCAATGACGGCACTGGCACTGTTCGTGCTGGTCCGCCGTTCCTGCAACGTTCTGGCAGAAAAGAACAAATCCCAAGCTCGACTCTGGCCTTCTCAGATTCTCTAGCCCTGTCTCTGGCATCCTTTGATCTGCCTGCAGTTGTCTTGGATCCTCTACGCAGCTTTGAGTGATTGGACGCTGGTCCCACGAGTGGCTGTGCCACTGGCAAGTCATTGCGCAGCAGCTGTGGATCGTTCTGCTGATTCTGCTGATGCTGCTGCTCTGCATACTCCGTACGCTCATCAGGAGATTCAGGAGATTGGGTACGCTCAGCCCCAGAGCCCTTCCTCAGCGGTCCCGAGTGGCTCGAGAATTCAGCGGGCTTGGCCTGTGATGTGCTAGTCCCGGCTGAGGTGTCCAAACCGGCTTTCAGAGGTCTGCGATGGTTCGGGGGAGATCCACTTGAGGCACTGCGTGTACTGCGCGATGCTGCTTGCTCCCAACCGTTGGAAGCTTCTTCTGGAAGCTCTGTGCAGCAAAGAAACTCATCATCGAAGGTGTCGACCGAGGCTTCGGTCCAGAAACATCCTGGCAACAAAATCGTGAAGTGTTTTTCTGCTGCAGTCAGTGCACTTTGGAGCTCTCGCCTTCGCCTTCGGGTTTCATGAATGCCCGGGACTGCTGCTCTGGATCTAAGGCACCAAATGCACCTGCAAAAGCACAACTGCTGCGGGCAAAGCAGCAAATTGGAAAAATAACGCATGTTTCAGCAGCGCCTTTGGTAGCCGAGGTTCCAGGCATGGGCAGCAGATCCAGCAAGTCTTGCTCCTCAGCTGCCTCAGCATCCTTCGTCCTAGCTCGCTGCTGCCCGAACCTCTCATGGTTTCCTGTTACCGGAGTCGCTTCCTTCTCCTGCTGGGCCATTTCTGCATCTGCAGTGGCGCTGCTGCAGCTGCTGCTTGAAAGCGTGCAGGGAGCAGCAGAAAAGCCCTTGTTGAACTCGTTGGGCAGGCCTTTGTCTTCAGACCTCGGGTGATTTATGAACCAGTGATGCTACCTGTTGCCATGCCCATACACCACACTCATCACTTCATGAACCACCATCAGTGATGTGTGGTTCCGTAAGGCAGGCACCTTGTCCTAAAACCAACATGATCTCCAGAGGCCTCCTCACCGGCTTCCAGGCCTTTCTGGTGCCTGGCAAAGTGTGATGCCGGCCGGGCGCCCAAAAAGGTGGCAACTTGACCCAGTCCGAGCCTGAGATCAAAGCTCGCATGGGGCTGGGCAGGCAAGTCGATGCTCTTCTCATTCTCGGCCTCGAATTTCCGCAGCGTACCGTCCAAGGACTTACGGATGACCTGCAGGCATCACAAGCACGAAGGGCTTATAGTATCGGACACGCCGAAATTCCATTTGTGCAGATCAAGGTAAACAATTGTAACGAGACAGAAACTTCACGCTGTCATCCAGCCCCTGCCGCACCTGGCTGGCTTGCGATGGAACAGCTGAGGGCAGGGAAGTCTTCCGGAAAAAGCCTGACGCGGCCATCAGTTGGAACTCCAGGGATCTGACTGGCCTGTTTTGTTGGCGTTTGACCTCTTGCTCCCAACACTTCTGTGGCCCAACGCAAAACAAACGTCAACTGGCAAAGCCCTATTCGTTGTCTCTATAGCCAGAATGCAACGATGCTATGATGCAGGTAGAACGTGCCCCTCTACCGGGCGATGTTTTTCTGAGACTTGAACAGGCATCTCTCATGTGTATCAAGCAGGCCCTTCCAGGCCGCCTGGCCGCTGGAGATCGTTCTTCTGAGGCTCTGATGGGCCTTCACTGGCCCTGTGCCGCCCTGACAGGTGCGGCTGGTGACTGAGAAGAAGAAATCAGAGCCCCGCCTGCAGGGTTGCTCTTCAAGGCCATCTGACGGGCTTCCCTCAAGTCGCGCTTGTCCCGCGAGTCCCACCCCGAAAAGTTGTTCCCAGGTTGGCGTTGCTCGTGCCCAGGTCGCATCGACTGGCTCCCACTCTGACCTTCTGGCAAATCAACTCCTGGAAGTGTGTTAGACAAACTGGAAATCCAGGCCTTCCAGATCCAAAGGAATATCTAACACTCCTGTCGTGCGAAGTGTGCACCGAAACATCACAAACAACAGCCTCTTGCTGCCTCCATGCTCCAACGAGAGGCGCCCTCAGGGAATCACTCGTTATGTTTACCATTTTAATTTGAAGTCTCCTCTCCTCTCCTCTGGCCTGAAGGCTCCGTGCGCACATGCGCAGGCGGCGCAGGCGGCGCAGGCGGTGCAGCCGGGCCCCTGCCGCCCGGACCGCCCGGAGGGCCGAAGCTCAGAGCGCTTTGGGCAGCGGCCGCAAAAGCCTGGCAAAGATAAGGTCGTGCTGCGCTCAGGCGCTCAGGCGCTGAGCCCAGGCCTTGCACCCCTCAGCCGCACCCTTCAGCCACAGATTGGCACAAAGCGCTCTGATTCGTGTCAGTGTGTCAGACATGGTTCTGAAAGGCAGCGGCAGTGGCAGGGATGGCATGCGTCTGCGAAGGTCGTCTCCGCCAGTCCTCCAAATGCTGCACCTGCACGGAACGAACTTCGTGGCTCGGGAGTAAGTCGAACGCACAGTGACAGCCTGCACCTTTCGCGGAGTTCGTGCGGTCGAGACACCACTCCTTTTAAGCTGACCCGTGCCTGATCATTCGCCGCTACACGCTTGAATACAGTGACTGGCTCAGCACTAGGGCTCGTGCGACCCACGATACCCAGTGAACCTGGCATTTTATATAATCGGTGCTCCGCCCTGCTCCCTCGCGAAGATTTTGTTATAGGAGCGAACTCTGAGGTTTCTGGACGTCCTGGTCTGGACACCGGAAGTGATGTCGATGGCTTTCACAGAATGAAGCAGGTCGAATGGTCGGTTTTGGGCTGTTTGCGGGCCTATGCAACTTCAGGTCAGAGTCAGGAGCTGCAGGCTGCCACTAAGCAGCTCATCAATCACTGGCTGTGCCTGTTCTGGTGAAAATCTCACGTTGGTGGAATCCAGAGCACAAAGAAGATGGAAAGCTTTTGCGATCACACCTTTCCATGAGAGTGAGCAACCACACAGACATGTCATGTTTTCCAGACCAGTGAACTGCGAATATCTCAAACCAACTCTCTGTCTCCCCTCTCTCCACAGGGATTTGGTGATGAGTGAGCAGCGAATCTTGGCTGGTCCAAGACTGTAGACCATAAGCGGGCAGGCCCAAGCAAAGCTTGCTGTGTCAGACGCTGAGTCTCCGGCCTGCTTCTGCAAGCTCCGAAGACCCTCGAGAAGCATGCGGTTTCAGGCCACTCCTCACAGGGAAAATCTTCAAAGCTTTGCTCGCAGAGTGCGGTGCAGCTTGGAGCTGACCTGACAACCCTTCGACCCTTCATGCATTCTTGTTTGGGAACACCGTGTCGTTGAAGCATGTGGCACCTTGATCGAGCAATCTACGGTTGGTGATGTCTTGCTTCGTGACGTATACTATACTAACACATCTCAATAGTGCTGCAATCCGTCAGCCCTGAATGCCCTGACAGGCACAGGCCATGCTAATGGCATAGCCCGGGGGCCTACTCATCGCCTCGTCTGAGGCACTTCACAGCGCGAGCTTGCCAGAATTCCTTCTGCTAGCTCTTCTAGAAGGGCCGGGCAAGAATGCTTGCGGGGTATCCTTTTAAATTACTGAGAGGTAGGGATGAGGGCGGTGCTCAAAGAGGGCCAGTTGTGCCACGTCACGCACACTGTCTTACAGACAAAGCAAGGCATCCACTGCAAGAATCTAACCAGGAAGACATAGCTGTCTGATGTTCCTAATCAGCCCGTGTCACAATGTTTGCAATAAACTCTGGAATGGAACTGACCATTCCAGTCGCTTTCAAACTGATCCTGATGCTTCCTTTGCCAGCGCAAGGAGTCGCTCCACCCATTTTGGGCTGCAAAGCTTAGCTGTTCGAGTTTGTAAGATAGGGTGTAAGGCCGACAGACATGGGTGCCTTTAGCATCAGGTCTTGGCGACTAACTCGACAAGGGCTTAGTCTTGACATGGCAGCGTACATGAAAACCCCACCCTCTTTAACCGCATATGATATCGTGCAGAGCTTTGCGCACTGTTATGCGGCTTGAGCCATGCCTTGCTGCCTGCTCATTTTCTACGCAGCCTCAGCTGCGCAGCAGAACAAGTGGTCATCGATCTCGCGTTCAGTCAAACCTGCCTTGCAAGCCAGATCTTTCCCACGCGCACATCTGGGCGTTGGCTCAGTAGTGGGATATGCAACCTATGCTGCAGGAAAACACCGGTGTTTGCTCTTTGGGCATGCAGTACTTACGATATCCCGGAACACCAGATACATCGACAAGATAACTCGCAAATGCAAAGTGGGGGGCCCCTCGGTGGTATCCGCTTTGCGGAGACTTTATGCACAAGCTACTGCAGCAAGGGATGCCGCAGAGCTTGCCATTTTGAGATGGCCGCAGTTCTGCGGACCTTCTTTCACAAAAGGCCTGTGCTGCTGACGGGCAGATACAAAATCGTCTTGGGCTAGCTAGTGGGCATGTCCATCATGCCCTGAACCATGATCGTGGGCGCCACCCTCAGCTATGCAGTGTTCGTGGCCGATGAGAATCAAGCCAATGCAAACAGCCCCAACCGCGAAAGATAGAAAAGCGCAGATTCGTTGTCCCAAGGTGAGCTTGGGGTCGTACATCTTTGGCAAGCAGTCGGTAGCACCGACATGCAAATACACCCCACCACCAAAGGCCAGGATGAGGCCAACAAGGGAGTCGTCAACTTTCGTCAGATAGATGATGAGGCATCCAAGGAGGACACTGAGACCACTCAGGAAGTTGAACGCCAGGGCCTTCAAAGAGGACATGGAAACCACTGGACCAGTCAAGATGACGAAGTCCGCGAGCTCCTCAGGGAGTCGAGACACAAAGGGCAAAAAAGTTTTCATGCGGAACTGAATCCTGCAGACGTGAAACCACGAAAGCAACTGCGTGGCATGTTATTACTTGCCTGAGGCAGCTCATGCAGGATCGTGCCCGTAGCCACGCTCCAGCCAAACGCATTGCCACAGACTTGGAAAGCTGCCCCAATGAAGAAGCCATCACACAGGTTGTGGAAGAAGTCGCCAATCATCACAGCTCCCAATAGTCGTGCTTTGGCCCGGAACTTCTGCGCGCTGTCCAAGCCCTCCAATTCGGGCCCCGTCTCAGCCTCCTGCTTTGCATCTTCTGCTGGGGGTGACTCCCCCTGACCGCGGGTAAGCGTCAGCAGGCTGATGATAGTCTCCACCACTGGCGGCACCACCATGCCCGCCAAGATCATGGCTCCCCATCGCCATACAATGTCGACCTCCGTCTTCCAGCCCACTGCAATAAGGTGGGTGGACTCAAAGAGGAGCAGGAAGAAGGCACAGGCAAGCAAAGCGCCAGCAGCGAAAGCAAAGAGCATTGCACTAAAAACTGGCTTCTCCATCATCCTCCTCAAGGGCCCGAACATCAACAGCACTCCGATGAAGGTGACCAAGTTCACCAGGAAGGCTGCGGCGAAGGGACCTGCATCCATCGGCGTCTCTTCCTCTGCTTTGACTGGCAGCTCACCAAGCGGCTCGATGTCTGTGCCAATGCTGTCCTCGGGGTAATCAGTTTTGGAAAGCCCTGCCTGCATCTGCCTGCATGAAACAGCCCTAACACTTTCGGCATACAATCCTTCAGGTAGTGGGCTGTTGCTTCGAACTCTGTGGGAACATGGGCTGTAAAGAAAGCGATGCCCGAAACGGCGCTGGCATCAACGTTGAAGAGGCTCTGCCATGCAGTCGCTTGGAACTGCAGATCGTAGCAGGTGTTATTAGCCGGGGTGATGGTACCTCCGGCTTGGACTTGAGTACAAGTGAGTTCCATGGCCTCCTTTCCTTGCGCCTCCAAGTCGCTGAGGCCCTGCTGGGTCAAGGTTGTGGCTGGCAAAGCCACGATCTTCATGCTGGGATCCACATAGCTCCCGTCCACCTTCTGCGCCGTCCAGAGATAATTGCTCTCTGGTGTTTCGAAGATGCCTGCCCACTCAAAGCTCCCGTGGTCGCCATGGTCATGCGCGTGGTCATGGTGGTCGTCACCTGCAGCAGCTGCGCGTTGGAAGCCGTAGCAGGCTGCAAGGAGCACACACGTGCGCGCATGCTTCATGTCCTGCTGCGGTGCTGCAGCGACGGCAGGGAGGGGACAGGCTCTTCGAATCTTGGGTCACAACTGCAGCACCAGCTTGCTACTCTGAGTGGCTCAAGCTCAAGGTCCCCTACTCTTGATGCGTTCCC